CTCTCTTATTCGTTTTTGGCAGTTGGCTATATAGAAGAACCTCCTGGCTTGTTTGAAACTCCTAGTCGGTTTTGTTTTTCTCAGCTTGATGGTAGACTCGAAAGTAATGGTTGCAGAGAAATAACTTTCATTCGCTCTGCTCATTGCGAGAAGCATCTATGCTCCACACCTTTGTATTAGAATACATGTGTGTTCATAAATGTATATCATTTGCTTATCAAAAAGTTGTAATCAAACAATGCTTAAGGAGAAGTTCTTTAGAAAGTGAATAATCTTAGATTTCAAAATTTGACAACCATCATGTAAAAATGCGTCATTCATTCGTGATTAACGTTCATTGACCCATAAAATTATTCCTAAAAATAATGCAAGTGTTGAAGGTGGGGGGAATTAATTAGCATCAGTTACCTTAACACCATCATGTAAAAATGCATCTTTCATTGCGTCTAAAACTGCCTCCACATTCGAGCATCAATTACCTTAGCAAACCGCACAGTTACCACTACACTATCTCCTGCTTCGCTCAGCAAATATCAGTTCACTTTGATAGAGGTGACACTATTGCTGTGAACAACTCAAAATTTCTTTCAGAGAAACGCTTCGCTGATATGGAAGGCAGATTTAGAATCAGCGTCTAAAACTGCCTCCACATGCATCGCTTCTTGAATCGTCACTTCGACTAAGTATCCTTCTGTTAGTAATTGTCCGAACTATCATTTTCCAGGTTGCCGAAAAGGCATCCAATACTTTTCTATATGCTGCAGTTGCTGCAGCTGTTGGCATGTTAGGCGTTTTCGTTTATTTATTGGCTGGTGAATTCTTTGCCGAAGACAGCCCTCAAAAGATCTATAGCACGTAAGTTCAAGGATTGTAATTGTATTATGTAATCTATCCTTTTTTATGCAGCGCTCTCGCCTTAGTGAGAGAGGATGGCCGTTGTCAGGATTTATTTGGTCCTAAAATCGCAGGATTTGGGGAAGAGACTTCCCGAGGACGACGGCGTCACGTCGCCCATCACAAGTATGAAAAGGACGGCAGACAACGAATTCGAGTTCTTTTCCATCTGAAGGTGCTTTCTTCTTTGATCACTTTTTGTAGAATGACAATTTTACTATCATTGATGCCGTTTGTCAAGAGTTTATCTGT